TTCTATTTCCCTAATTTTCACACCAAGATTTTTGGTGGCTTATCCACGAATAACTATTCGTTTTTCATTTGTACTACGTTAGCTTTGAATCTGAACCTTACAGGGGTGCCTGGGTGGCTCAGTCAGTTAAGCATCTGACTCTTGGTTTCAGCTCAGGTCACAATCTCACGATTCGTGGGTTTGAGCCCCACATCAGGCTCTGCTCTGACCACACAGAGCCTGCCTGAGATTCTCTCTCTCCCTCTCTCTCTGCCCCTCCTCTGCTCTCTCTCTCTCTCAAAATAAATAAACTTAAAAATAAAAAAAATTAAAAAAAATCTGGACCTTACAAAAATTTTACCTTTTTTTTTTGTACCCTCAAAGCAGTGTTTCTCAAAGGGAAAATAAAATAATCTGGATAAATCTCTCTTGTTGTCTACAGAAAACATCCTTGAACAATTTGCTTCGTGAGTTTCTTTCATTATTCAAATATGTCTTGCACGTGGCAGGTGAACTGTATATGGGCCTATGGAGGAGTCATGTTGCTGTGTGCTCAGCCCCTGATAGGGGCAGCCTGCCAGACAGGGACACTTCAGGGGAAACTGCTCCATTGGCAGCTAGAAATGTTGGGCAGTGGGACTAGACATTGACACGGGGCACTGGGTGGCATGGAGAAAGGTGGGGAGTGTGTGTTACCTACTCTTATGAAGTACCCAGAAGAACACATACTATAATCGTTTATAGGTACATTTAGACTAGGGAGTAATTAAAAAAATTTTTTTTAATGTTTATTTATTCTTGAGAGACAGAGAGAGAGAGAGAATGAGTGGGGAAGGGGCAGAGAGAGAGGGAGACACAGAATCTGAAGCAGGCTCCAGGCTCCGAGCTGTCAGCACAGAGCCCGATGCGGGGCTCGAACTCACAAACCGTGAGATCATGACCTGAGCCGAAGTCAGACACTTATCCGACTGAGCCACCCAGGTGCCCCAGGAGTAATTTTTTTAAAAGGTCTGTATTACTAATGCCTTTCCTTCTAGTAGGTAGTGATTTCTAGCACGTCAATGACTAATTGCCATTGACTTACATGGCCTAATAAAAAAAGCAGCTCACTAGAGCGACAAAATTCGTTTTTTAAACTTTAAAAATTCTAACTTTATAATTTTCTTTTTAGAGAAGAACGAAAGATGATACTTGGAAAGCAGATGACCTCAGAAAACACCTCTGGGTAACATGTTTTAAAGATTTGGGTTGGGGTCCTTTTGGACCCTGGATGGTTTCTTGACAGTTTTATTTGGTTTTCAACACAGCCTAACTTTGCTTATGTGTGGCTCATTTCAGAAGCATTCTCGACTCAGAGATAAAGCTGTATGGTTAATAGCTCTGGAACTGTGGGGGGAACGGGGTTGCCCAGCCCAGCGTCCCACCAGCTCCATCAGGTTTCTGTTAGGGTTCAGGGCGTGTGCCGTGTGTGTCTGTGCATGCGCGTGGTAGTGTGCACTGTGGGTGCGTATGTGTCTGTGTGGTTTCTCTGTGAGAGTGTGTGTGTGTGTGTGTGTTATGTTTGCATGTGTGTATTTGTGTGTGCACGTGTGTGCGTGTGTGTGTCTGTGTGGTGTGTGTGGAAGGGTCTTGGGCTGTGAAAATTAATTAAAGGAAAAGGGGGTTGGGAGGCCAGCACTGGGGGGGCTCAGGCACCACCACTCCACTGTCCACTGCAGACCCGATGGGAAGAGATGCACCTTCCACGTGATACTATTTTGCCAGCCCGGCAGGAGGAAGGAAGGTCTCCTCCTCCCCCGGCGACAGCTCAGCTCACGAGCAGCCACCACACTTCGGGCTCCCAGTTCACCCCTCCCGGCTCCCCCTTTCCTCTGTGAAAGAGCCTCCTCTCCTCTGTTCTGCAGAATCACCTGTGGTTTTGCCACAGCTTAATTGTCCCAGACGGCAATTCTCTGCCGTTCCTGAAGAAACCCATTTTTGCTGGTAAAATAACTGGGGGTTTTATCTTTAAGATTAATGGGGTGAGATCGAGACCTCCTGAGAGTTTTATCAGGGAGAGTGTCCTTGTTCTTTGAGTGGGACCCAGGCTGTTGCTGTCTCAGAGACTTTAAGACACAGTTACAGTATGCCTTTCTTTTTCTTTCTGTTCGGTATAGTATTTCAGATTTGACTTGCCAGCAAAAGTGAACGTCCCTTGTGAACGGGTGCCCGTTGCCAGTCGTAGAAATGCTCCATCACGTTCCGCTTACTGTGGCCTCAGAGACACGTCTTCCAGGCCCATCTTGCTGGGATGGAAAGCAGGGGAAGCTAGTGTGAAGTCACCTCAATGAGCAGGACTCACATTCCGGATTCTGCTTTCTTTCTCTTGGTTTAGGCCGCACACTCAGGTAATCCCAAGGGAGATAAGAAGCACAGAGAAAAGAAGCTTCGTAAGGAGTCAGAAGTGGACTTCCCTGAAGACAAAGAGCAAAAGCATAGGGACCCAGACCGAGACACCAAGCACAGAGAGAGGCCTGCTGAGAGAGACGGTCACGCGTCCAGAGAGAACCCTCGTGGGGACAGAGACCGAGAAAAGCCAAGGGAAAGGAAAAAGGACTCCAGAGACCGGGACAGAGAAAGGCACAAAGAGAAATACCGAGAGCAGGACGCAGACAAGTCTCACAGTCGAGGAAAAGACAGGGACAAGGACAGAGAGCGCAGAGCGAGGAGGGAGGAGCTGAGGCAGACGGCCCAGCACAACCTGCTGGGCTGGCAGCTCCCGGAGCCGGCGGAGCGCAGGGCGCGGGCAGGTGTGTGTCTCTGCCGCAGGCGGCCCCG